GAATGATGGCACAGTTATTGAACTACTAAGGAGGGCTCGATGAACCAATGCCTCTAGTTCAATCGGGACATATGAATCAAAGGGGATCATACTGTACGTTTACTATATCAAAAGGTTCTTGCAGGCACTTCATTTGTATCTAGGGAATCATGACGCGTAGTTGCTAGACACCAATCTTGATTTGTTGGGTGATTAAGTTGAAACGAGCTTCATCTTAATCGTAACTTTAAGGGACGAGTTTAGACCACAAAGGGTTGTGGATCCACGGCTAGCTTACACCTGAACCATCGAGGGTCACACTGCTCGTGCACTCGAGATCTTTGAATAAACGGTCAAAGATAAAAATATTTTATCTTTGCATGATTGGAAGTCAATGTGATTGCTTCTAACATTCGTAATTTAGAATTATGAATGAGAACAAGAAAAGGAAAAGAATAGGCGAACATCTTAGTGAACTTTCTAAATTGGGAACTTTCCAAATTTAGAAAGTCCACTGAATCAGGGTTTCCACTTTTAGAAATTGGAAATTGAGAATTGGCACTCGTACTGACGAGGACGTTACAATGATTCCGAAAATGTAATCGTTACAATTTTCCAATCATTGAGTTGTGAGAAACGAGCGAGTAAATAACTAACGAACTTAAGCTGTTGGGCCCGGTCCAACTTAAGCCCGTTAGGGCTTTTATACAAGACCATATAAATACATGATTTATAGGTCTTGCACAACACATAACACACTAGAAAACCCTAGCCGCTCTTCCTCACACACTCGACCGTTCTCCACATCTCCGCCATCGCCGCCGTTGTCGCCGCCGTCGCCGGAGTTGGCCTCACGCGCCGGCATACTATCGGTAGTATTTTCCTTTTGTCTTTTTCATCAGTTTTTCTGACTTTTACGTGTCTAGTGCCACGTAGTTAGTTGATTTCGGTATACGAGGTGAAATCCGAGAGGAGGAAGATCAATGAGTCAAATCATCGAGAAGCATCAGCCGAGCAGACGCCGCACGCTCCCTCACGCGCCGCCCGAAGACAGCGCGTGATCCACACGCACCGTCGCTGCTCCCGACTGCACGGATTGGTTTCCGTGGCAGTTTGCTTCGATCCGAGTGCTTGTCTCACGCTTCAAGAGGTAATTTTCGGATCCGATATTAATTAGGTATTAGTTTAATTAGATTAAATTATATGTTTATATTCGCAGTATGTTTTTCGTGAATTGCTATATATGTTTTCGTTTATATGAAATTCATGATTTACTGCGAGCATGCTATGTGATTTATTGTCAAATAAATTAATACTAATGTTGTTGTTTTTTAATTATCGCTGGAAGCGCAAATGTACGCAATTAATTGTTTAATACGAATCGAGCATGTGATTATGTGAATTAAATTGTTTATTTCATGTAAAAATTTTGTTTTCCGCTGCGTACACGTGCCCGATTCCCAGCCTACCCGACATAGGCGGGTTAACAAATTAATAAACCACACCTGCTTAGTTAGGCATATGAACCGCACGGTTCGAGTTTTTTTCGGGTTTATCGGGTTGGCGGGCCGGTCGGAAAAATACCAACATTTTTTATTATATATAAAAGACACTACAAAGTACAAATATAAAGTTAAGTTGCCCAAAAAAATGGAAAGAAAGAAAAATAGGATTTAAAGGCCGATATTGCACTGTCTCGACTGTGGTGAGTTGGTGGACTACGACGGCGAGTCAACGGCACCAAGGTCCCAGGGATCGATGATTCATATGTGGTGGAACAACATCTAAGCTTACGGTGGAAGAAGATACATTGGTAGATCTACCGATGGAATGGTGAATAGAAAAAAAAAACACAAGATTATTTAGTGATTTTTTAATTCTCTAATTGAAGATAGGGAATAAAGAATTTGGAGGATATAGTTCAAATTAGGGGAAGAAAAAATGACGGCAAAAGCAAAATGAGAAGCTAACCTAGAAAGAGTATAAACAAACGGCTGCTAAAAGGATAGGGGCTGAAAACGTAAACCCTAGATCTAAAGTATTTGACATCATATATATATATATATATATATATATATATATATATATATATATATATATATATATATATATATATATATATATATATATATAGACACACACACACGGGTGGGTCGGGTTTGGGCAGGTTTTTTTAGTTAAACCGGAGACCCGACCCAAATGATTCGGGTGTCAAATTTTTGAACTGCTACTCAGAATTTTAAAATCAAAACTGGCAAGTTACAGGCGGGTTCGGGCAGGTCGGGCGGACGGGTGGGTCGGGTTTGGCGGGTTTATGAAGACCCCTAGCAACAGCCACTGATCCAAAACCCTAGATCTACCCAGAACTCACACTGAGTTCACTCACCAATGCATGCACAATCAACTCAGTCACAAACTCACTCTCTCTACTCGGCACAAATCCAGTTTTCCTCACTCAGAGTTCCTCAATCACTCACAGAAGAGTATTGGGGTTGAAAACACTCGGTTTGAATAAAAGGTAAAGTCACACTAATCTCTCACTCTCACCATAGTATATATACACGAAGATTCAACGGTCCTCAACATTAAATGTGCTGCGACGGCAAAGACACCCATTGTCCGGCTAAACCTGCGACGGTGTCACCGAAAAACGACAATGGGTGGACGAAACACTGTAGAGAGAGAAGGGAACAAGAGGAGAGAGAAGCGACACAGCTGAAAAATGAGCTGCTAGGGTTTGAGAGAGAGGATAAGAAAGAAGAGATGAACGACCAGGATTAATCTCACACAATGGATGGTCAAGATTGAGTTTGACCAGATCAGTGTGCTTAAGTTGCTTTTGGGTCCCATTCCTTGAGTTGCGCTGCCAATTGTAAAGACTGGCCCATATCAAAAAAGATCATTTTATTTGGCTCAATCTTAACATACATAGAATTGATCACTCTATGTTATATATGTGAATTCATTTATAAATATCTGTCAATTAATTACTAATAATTGGATAGAAAGCATATGAATCCTATGTGTAGTGATTGCAAATGTTGCGTGTGAGCAGTGGTGTTTTGACTAGAAAACTGAATCAATGAATGCATAAGTGGGAAACATACGGATGAACAAAAGCATACAGTGAAGATAAGGTCCTAGGTTCGCTTTATATAAGTAATTAATCTTTTTAATTTAAGTAGTATGATAAACCAATTAATTGTAGTTCACTTGAATAAAACCAAATCGTTAGTGATGGAATACTCTTAGAGAAGAAACCAATTGTCATGTGGATTCGACAATCCCGACTCATGAGAATCAACTTTACTACTTAAAAGCGATACATGCACCTGCGTGTAGGTTTCAATCAACAAGTTTTGTGCTTTTTTCAATCTATTAAATTTCTATGTAACTCAAGCTTTTTATCTTTTTAAGTTACTTTTACTTATTTAATTAATACGGTACTCTACACAATCTTTTATTTTAAAACCGACTATCAAGTCTAACTAGCAAAAAAAAAACATAGAAAGAGAAGAATATTTGAATTAAATGCAATTCAGTGTCAAACAAGTACTAAGTAATTACTAATTAAGACAAACTACAACCCATTTCACAAACGAAGTTGAATTTAATGTTACCATGTTATCCAAAACAAGAAACAAGGGATTAGTCATTAGGACAAGCTACAAAGATTTTCGAAATTAATCAGACACGGAATCATTATCTGGGCACGAAACAATCTGATTGGTCCTCCAGATATCCCCTTCACCACATTTCTTCATTATTACATTTATGTTGACTTTCCGGTGGCGCCACACAAAAACAAAACACTACAAAACCCCCAAGAAAAAAAATAAAAAAAAAAAGAAAAACCAACGGCCCTCATCGCTCGATCCCAAAAATCGCGACCATGCTCAACCTCAACTTTAACGCCACTGCTGCACCACTGCTGCTCTCTCGATTCTGAAACGCTACTCCGGTTTAAGGTAGCTGTTTTTTTTTTCCGACAAGATGGAGATCGCGTTGGCCTCGGTAGCTCCGAAACCGCCGGTGACGGCGTGGTTTTTGAGTCCCGGCGGCGGCTTGGGAGGTGGTCATCATCATCTTGCTATGCCGGTGACGGCGAGGAGGAAGAAGAATAGGTGCGGGATTGTGAGGGCGGAGAGTAATATCGGCGGCGGCGGAGAAGTGGTGGAGAATGGGGAGAGGGAGAGTGGTGGCGGGTACAGGGTATCGGGTATGGAGGTGACCACATTCAATCAGAGCTTCAATAATGATGCTGCTGCTGCTGCTGATTTCCCTGTGTGGGATAAGATTGGTGCTATTGTCAGACTCGGCTATGGAATCGGTTTGCCTCTTTCATTTTGAGTTGGTTCTTTTTTTTGGGGTTTATTTATTTATTTGCTGCCGAAGAATCAGCTCAAGTTTCGATTTTTTTTTTATGTTGCTGTTTATATAGACGTTAATTAAAGATGCAAACTTTAGAAGATTCTTTAGTTATTTGATCTTTTAGATATAGGAATAAGATTCAAAACTCAATCGGTAGCAAAATGAAAATGACTGAGTGTTGAAATTTTATTCTTCGTAGTGTAACGTAAAGTGCAAGGGTGCTTTCGTTCGAGGGAAAGTCGAAGAATCTGTTCGGTCCCGTTTTGAGGGCTTTATTTTTCTTTTTTGTTTTGGGAATTTGAGATGTGAAGTAATATTTGTTTGAATTTTGAGAAGACACCATTTAAATCAAGTTGAAATCTATTTTGCGGCACTAATAATTGTGATAGAATCGGATTCTACTTTGCTAGTATTCCTTCTCGGATTCCTTAGCTTTTCAGTAATTATTGTTCGATCCATATTAATAATCTTATATTGCTATAGCTATTATATTAATTTCTCCTACATTGCTTCTTTTAAGCAACATCGTGGAGAAAGCATTTCTTAAACTTTTGACGTAACTTTTCGTCTGCTTTTTTTGAACTTTAGGAATATACAGCGCAATGGCTTTGGCGGGAAGATTTATATGCTCCATTTCGGGGATCGATTGCAACGGAGGATTCGATCTATCGTTGGACGCCATTGTTAACGGATTGGGATATGCTTCTCCTCCAATTATGGCCCTTCTTTTTATACTTGACGTAAGTCGAGCTTCGTCTTTTCTTTAGCAAATCTCCTCAATTGTTCGTCTCATTATTATATTATATAAGGCCTCGTTTGGTTGCCAAGATAAGATTAGCCAAGATAAGACTAAATAATCTAATGAAACCCAATTGTTTTATAGTACCTCCGAAGGTCCAACTAATAACATTATATTTGCGGGTCGGCCCGGTAAGTTATTGGGGGATACCAAACATCAAACAAAGTCCAATTATTTAGTTAATCATGGCTAATCTCCCCAACCAAACGAGGCCTTAGAGTTATTATAGAATGAAATACACGATTGATAACACTTTTATATTAATACAGGATGAAGTTGTGAAGCTATCTCCTCATGCTCGTGCAATCAGGGATGTCGAAGATGAGGAGCTACGTAGCTTTTTTTACGGGATGTCCGCTTGGCAGGTAAAAGATTTTTTCTAATTTCTTTCTTCTTTTCTTTTTTTTGGTAAAATATATATTTTATTACGGGCTCTTATTCCGTACCATATATTTGCAGTTTATGCTCATAGTTGCAGCAAGCTCTGTAGGAGAGGAGCTCTTTTACCGTGCTGCTGTACAGGTATATATATATATATATATATATATATATATATATATATATATATATATATATAACTTCAGGAATTTATGTAAAGAATGTCGAGTTTTTCTTATACCATTATTTTTCATGTATTTGCAGGGAGCAGTAGCGGAAATATTTCTCAAGAGTGGGGATTTGGTTGCTGATGCTCGAGGAATGGCATCACTGGTAATTAATTAATTAGCTTAAATAATATGTTGCTTGATATTAATCATATATAAGTGTAATTGTGAAAAAAGATTCCGGTTTGATGCATGCAGGCTGGTGTACTTCCGCCGTTTGTCCCGTTTGCGCAGGCATTTGCTGCTGTTATTACAGCTGCTCTTACCGGTTCGCTTTATTACATGGCTGCTTCTCCTGATGGTCCGTCTCTCTCTCTCTCTCTCTATATATATACAAATTTTTTATTTCTCTTGAAAATAAATAATTCCTCCCCTTATCAAAAATTCTTATCTGGATATTTGTTTATCCAGACCCTACCTATGTAGTCGCACCGGTTCTTAAATCGCGCTCTGCTCGTGAAGATCTCAGAAAACTCTTTGCAGGTGAAATCCCTTTTCTGAAATTGTTAGCTTTAAATTGTTAGCTTTACCCTTTTTATTTTTTCGTTCGTTCTTTTTTTTTTTTTTTTTTTTTTTTTTGGCTACTAACTAGACTTGCTCATAGTGGATCGATAAGGTCAAAATATATATCAAGAAACAATACTACGTATATTTCTCCTACATGAACTGCAAATTTAGGAATTCCCTCTATACTCTTGCACCTTTTTATCTATGTTATTTAATTTATTCGAACAAATTCGGCTTGCATTTTCCATGTATCACAATTCGTAATTGATAGGTTTATTTATTAAGTATTAGCGCGTCAAACGGGGGTCTAGCTGTAATTAGACCTACGCACGTAAATTTGTTATTTGATTCATTAGAAATGTGGTCACATATTTTGCAGCTTGGTACGAAAGGAGGCAAATGAAAAAGATATACTCCCCTCTGCTCGAATCACTTTTGGCACTGTATCTAGGGTTTGAATGGATTCAGGTAATTAACTAACTGTAATTGATTCCAAATAATATTAACTACAACAGATTATTACAGTGTTTGAACTAGTTTGTTTGAACAGACGAACAACATTCTAGCGCCAATCATAACGCACGGTATATACTCGTCCGTTATTCTGGGGCATGGTCTATGGAAGATCCACGATCATCAGAGAAGACTACGCCAAAGAGTACACAGCCTTAAACAACAAGGAAAATCTTCTTCTTCAAGAAAATTGTGAGATCTATCTTCTTGTGGAGTTACGCTAGCTTTTTTTTTTTTTTTTTATATAATGCAGGATTTGTATAAATTGCACAGCAAAGCTTGCTAGATATATACTAGCTGAAAATAGAGGTGTAGCGTGTATATGTATAGAACAATCTGAATGTGATGTAAATTTACGAGAGATACAGTGTACGGATAATTTCCTGCTACTTGTACATGACAAATGAGAAAAACAAAAAATACTTTAGTTGATCAGTTTCGGCTTTCATTAAGTATTAAGCTTGCAGGTTTAGGGTAATTTGGCCGATTATATGTTTGTTCGTTGATTCGATCAATTTTTTTTACTTTCGGGACGTAAAGAAAATCGAATCGTGATCAAATATCAATTCCATGTGCAGAAGAAAGAGAGAACACGAAAAAAATAAATAAGAAAGAAAGACGAGTGAGAAAGTAATCGGGAAGAAAGAAAAACAGCTTGAGCATGAGAACCGACAACTTCGCCATCGGAAAATCATGCTGGAGGCACGTGGTCAAGATTCCGGGCGAATTTTAAACAAAAATAAAAAGTTCCCCTGGGCAAATTGCAACAACTTATTGAGTCGAGGGAAAAAAGAAAAAAAAAAAAAAAAAAAAAAAAAAGACAATGTCAATTGTTTTTGATCAAGTGGTGTGTACAAATCGGAGTATAATTTAAGGGGCAAATATGTAAAATTAAAAGGATGAGAAATCAGAAAACGTGAGACCTCCGAATCACAGACAATATAGCTAGTTGCATATTATACCATAAACAAGGCTTCGACATACATTAATGGTGGTGTCTTGAGTCAATCTTCCAACTGGGAAATGATACTAACGAAGACACCATAGCCTTGGCACATATCAGAGAGAAGGCAATACTCGTTCTTCGCATGATATGTAGCCATTAATCCTGCGCGTTTTTATAATCCCAAAAAAGAAAAAAGAAAAAAGAAAAAAAACAGTTAAATACGTAGGGTTGCATTTCAATGGAAGGGCTTCAATTTGAGAGACGAGTCGGAGAAATGATTTCAAATAACTCATATAAAACAAATTTAAAATCAACCATAACAAGTTAAGGAGAAGTTCAAAACGACAGTCAAAAAAGACTTAAAATCAATCCGTTCAAAAACAAAAATGCATCCAAAAAATTCAGTGAATTTGTAGTAGATAACCAATTTTATTGAAGTAAGAAGATCGCAAGGACATGAAAAACTATTTCGTGGCACTACCTTAAAGTGTAAATCATAGGAGCCTATGTTTGCATACTAAGGAAAAAAAATGATCTTATTATATGGCTACAAACATCACATGATAAAACGAACAAAGGAAAACACTGAAAATGTGAAGTAACGGGAAAACTATACCATAGCCACAAGTCTGCACGTCAAAACCCTCGTCCTACATTAAGACAAAAGTATAAAGTGAAATTTGTGAATATCTTGTGTTCGCCAAAAAAAAAAAAAAAAAAAAGCAAGGTAAAATAAACTGAGGGTGTTTGGCTAAGCTTATTTTAAACATTTGATAAGTTGTCTCAAGAGTTGATAAGTTGTTACGTCTTATTTGTAAAATTAATTTTTAAAGTGTTTGGACAATGAGATTATAAGCTATTTTCACTAATTATAAGATCTTAAATAAAAAGGTAGGGTAGAAGTACTTCTTAGAAAATAAGCTCTCTAGCAGCTTATTTTTTGAATTTTTAAGATCTTTTTAAAATATAAATACCAAACACTTTTGAAACATCTTATAAGTTGTTTTTAACCGCTAATAGGCTTAGCCAAACGCCCTCCAAGTAAGAAAAAAAGGGGGTTTTAATTAACCTGCAATTCACGTATGAGGGGCAAACTACCAGTGATAGAATAGGGTTGAACATGCCCAACCACATCTTTAGTAGCTTTGCACAACACATGGTAACCACGAGAGTCGAGGTTACAAGCCACACCAGATAGTGCTTCGTCAAATGTAATACTCAACCTAGGAATTAAAACATAAATTATGTAATTTAATTTTTCAATTTCTTTAAAAAAAATATGATATTTGAAATAAGAAATCTTGGAAAACGGAAATAATCATATAATTTTTTATCCACGAGAAGAAAAATATATACCTTCCCCTGAGGTTCTCGTCGGGTAGAACGTATTTTGATACGGGCCCACGTGTATCTACATTCTCTATGTTGGCATTCAACTCTTCAACATATTCTTGAAGCTTCTTTATTACATCGTTTACGCTGACACACATTATATATATTACGCAATTAATTGAAAATAATATATATTGAGATAATCAAAAACGACAAAACGAACAAGGCAACTACTATAGAGTAACCAATAAAGAGAAAGGTGCGTGTTACATACTCGTAAAACGGAGTCAACCTGCAATAGTAAATAGGAAAACATTATAAGTAAATGAATGGTAGGGCAAATAATTTAAACAAATAGCAACTGAACGAAACGTAACCTAACATCTCCGCAAACGGTACAATCAGCTGGGATTTGGTTAATTCCACCTCCGGGATCTGTAATTAATTGATACTTAGGAATATAGCCGGTGATATTGACGCATGAACAAAGTTATACTACTTTAAAATTAAAAAAAAAATTAAATTTAAAAAAAAATCAAGACTTACAACTCCACTGAGTCGGTTTCATAGTCGACGGTGTTGCAAATCCATAAACTTGTTCTTTTGGGTGGGGCGGAAAGTCTTTGTAAAAACGTAACTGGATCACTTTTAGAGCTTCCATAGCTAGCTCCAACGGGTTTATAGCCTACATATGTCCAATAAGAAATAATAATAATAATAATTGCCGAAAAATTCGTGACCTCTATTCATTCTACTACTAATACATTTATGGAAGACTAAACTGAAATGTTTCGATTATCAATTGCACTGAACAATTCAAGCTAGGAACAAATTACATTTGATATATTTTTCAACTTTGAAAAAATCCGACTCTATATGCTGTTGTCACTTTGCTTCACAACATCGCTCTTTTGCCAATTTCTAATACGTATAATACTAACTCCTATTTCATAAAATACGAGGGGTGAGTTTCATAAAACGGAATATACCTTGTGGGCCAGACCACTGTGAAAAAGCTTTCCGAAAACCTCAAGTTTCCATGGTATCATACCACCAGTACCAATGCAAGGCTGTTTATCAGCTGTATCAATCCAAAACCTGCACAATTACAGAAATACCCCTAATCATAACTGATAATTTTTTTATGGTAAAATTGATCGAAAAAATGTAGTATACAATACATACAGAGGTCCCTGCTTCAATTTATCGAGCAATCCATCCTTCACTAAGGCATCTACACCTACTCCAGGGATAGAAGAATTCTCTTCACTGGCAATAAACACAGCAACTACAGTTGACTTCAATTGAGGCTTCGTTTCACCGAGCCTCTTCATTAGTTCAGCTACAAGGGCAACATGCCCTAAACAATCGGTTGTTCCGCGCCCTCTTAGCTTGTCCCCTTCTATGCTCATGATAAACGGATCAAAATCCTGCACCCGTAAGTTTTTTAATATAAAGTCTACAACAGAATCTTATTAAAAAGTTTCTACCCATTTATAAACCGGTACATCCGGATACAGAAATTTCCTTTTACGGTTGCTTATTCACTTTAACTTTTAAGAAGAAAGAGTTATTTTCTAGCATTAACCTTTAGTGGCATATTCCAGCATTTTTTTTTTTTTTTTTTGCAATTCTATATCAACAAAATAACAAAAAAAAGATTATTAAAAATCCAAATGCAAAAAGTGAATCCGCCGCATCACATGGTAAAATAAAAAAAAAAGGTATTCAGTTTCTTCTTCGTTCTAATTTCCCAAAGAATCAAACTTTAAGACTAGAGGAAATGAAAAAGATCCATTTTTTATCGATCCCCAAAAAAAAAAAAAAACATTTCTTACAAACCTACAAACAACACAAACAATCGCAAATTCACCTTAATTAACACACAATTGGAGCTTTCAAATCAATATCAAATTGAGTACACAAACTGAACATTCCACGGAATCTAGAAGATTATGTTGAATTTGGCATCATAAAGGTGAACGTGTAAGCAGATTCATAGTTGACGTGTGGTTGTAATTATCCAAAAAAGAGGGATTTTTTTCTGTAATCTGAGCTTACCTTAATTTACACCTTAAATTGTTTTCTAACATTAACCTTTAATAGTATTGCACAACATACACATACACACTTCCAGCAACATTTTGCAATTCTATATCAACAAAACAAAGAAAGAGTTTAAAATTCCCTAATACAAAGTCAATTCGCTGCAATCGCAAGGGGTAAAATAGTAAATTCCAAGAATCATCACTCATCAGCAACCCTAATTTCCCAAAAGAATCAAACTTCAGGTCAAAATCAAAGTCAACACCACCCATATTTTAATCACACAAATTAGGTCGAAAATACGAAACCAAACATACCCAATCAGAAGGATTGGCGGTTACAACATCCATATGCATGCCGACGAACGACAAGATTTTGCCGGGCTGAGTTCCGGGGTACTCGACGATGAGATTCCCCCTCTTGGGCTTGTAGGTGACGTGGTTGATGATGAGTGGGCCGCCGCCGGTGGCGGTGCTGAATGGGCGGAGGTGGTCGAGCACATGTCCGACGATTCTGTCCTCCTCCGGGATGAGGTCTGGGGGGTTGTTCTGCACGTGCTTAGACTCGCCGATCAGTTTGGATAAGAGGGTTACGAAGGAATCCTTGTTTAGGTCTCCGACTGTTTGCGTTACGCTTGGGGCAGCCATTTTTGTATCGGTGTTAACTTTTACTCAAAACACTGTGTTTATTTATATATATATATATATATATATAGTTGGGTTATGCTCGATTTTTTTAAGGATTCTGATGCTATACGGATCTGATCCCATAAAACTTTAGGAAAATTGGAACTAAATTTCCAAGATCTGAATTAGAATACCTATTAGATTTTGATTTTCTATTCAATTTTAATTATCCTTTAATATTTTTTTTTTAGGTTTAACCGTAAAAAATTTCCTAAACTTTGGATGTTCTTGCGATTTATCACTTGAACGGAAAAAAGTTGCACGTGCACACCTGAACTCTATTATTTTCAGTACCGACGAAGAAATTGTCCATTTTTTGCCAAACTGAATCCAACTCACGTGCGTTGCACGTGAAAATAACTGGGGTAAATTAGTCTTTTCATGCTCATACCCTTCTGTCTCCCACTTATTTGGTTTTTTTTTTTTTTTAAACCCCCCCCCCCCCCCCCCCCCCCCCCCGAAACATAAGTTTGCTTTCATTTCTTCTCGCACGCGATTTCACTTCTAATTCTGCAATGAATTTGATATGCTACTGTGGAAGAAAGCTAACCATGAAAACTTTATGAACTGACCTCAATCCAGGAAGGAGATACTCCATGTATGAAAAATATCGGGTAAAGTTTCAATTTTTATGCTTTCGCAAGTCAACTATCTTCCTTTTTTTTTTCTTCTGAATTTGTTCTATTTTTTTAGCAATTTGGGGTTTGTTACTATTTTGTTTGGATTGATCCACCTATGTGCGAAAGAGCTCGTCATATCATACTTGGTTTGCTCCGCAGAATCAACAAACATGAAGAGGACATGAAGAAGAAACAAGAAACGAAAAAATGGTTGTGGATTGGAATGATTGTTTTATGGTTGATTGTCTACTGTCTTTTGTAAAGTTATATAGTGGTTGTGTATTTGAGTTCTAACGTTGTTTTAATGAACAATGAAGCTTAAAAAGTGGCTGTGTATTTGGAGTACTCCATTTTACTATTACAAAGTGGTTGTTTTGATGTAATGGCCGTTTTGATGTCTAATTAATTAATGAAATGTTATCAAATTAAGTACTATTTGTAAGATAAAAAAAAAAATTAATAGAGCAAAATATAAACAAAATATGTTATGTAAACTAACAAAATTTCGAAAACAAATTTGATTAACTTTCGAACAACTAACATAAACACACTAAAACTATTACAAGTTCTGTAAACCAGTACAAAGTTGATCCAAAATAACAAAAATTATAGCAAATCATGATGACTACAAAATAACACAAGTTTGATCCAAAAGATGCAAGTTTGATCCACTAAGAAAGCAAGTTTAATTCAAAAAAAAAAATCAGACAAAATCAGTTCAAAATGCTGCAGATTGATCACTGTAATGGTTGCTTCCAGTTTCTTTGGTTAAGGTCTTTGATTGTTGTGTGCTTGGCAATGTGCTCTTCTTCTTGTGACTCTCTGATTATTGGGTGATAGTCATTGTGAGCTTTTTGTTGTATATGTCTCTCATCATTGCCTTCATTGGCTGAAATGAGTCAGTGGATAAGACTGCTGACTGCTTGAAAAGACTGCAGACTGCTGACTGCGTGAAAAGACTGTTGACCGCTTGAAATTGCTTTCAACTGTACTCTTGTCTGTAACATTTAATTTTTTTGATTGTTGAGTGCTTCCAACTATACACTTGCCTTTTTCCTTTGAATTTTTTGATTGAACACGTGACAGCAAGAAGGTATAATATAAATCAACTTCATACACACACATCTAGGGCTAAAGAACGAAATTATGTCAAAGATGTTATGTTTTGAAAATCAGATATGTTTGTTTGTAAAATCAAACTATGTTTTAATTTAAGCCCCCATTTGATGTTGTTGTATCTCTTGAAGGAAAAAAGATTTAAGCAACTGTGAGTTCAGGGCAACTTCATTCAATTGATTTTCGGGAACTGTGTAATTTAATTATGTAATATTGGATATGTGTTATCTTCCAGGAGGGCATTGAGAATATAAAGAATTTGTTTGTTGACATGGAGAATATAACATATATTCATGAGATATCAAAAAATCATAAATCTAATTCTTTGCATAATTTATTTTGCAGTATGTCAAGTATGTCTTCAAGTGAACCAACTCTTTCAAAAAGCACTATGCGGACGAGCAAGAAGAAAAAAACTTGCGGGGAAATCGGGTCTGTCTGGCCACCATGGTCGTTCTGAGGTATGAAACCATTTAAAAAAGATAATAGATGAGGAAGCAAAAGAATAGTTGAAAATTGTATGTGCAATTATTGTAAGCAGATTGTGTACTCTCCTACTTCAATAGAAACAAATAAATTGTGGACACATAGGGATAATTGTAGGGAACTACTAGTAGAGTTGGGAGATATATCTCAAACAACTATTTCTCTCTTGGGGGGTACATTTGACAGTTGGAAATTTGACCAAGAAAAGGCCCGTATAGCTCTTGCTGAAATGATTATTATGGATGAACTTCCATTTTCAATCGTTGAAAACGAGGGCTTTATAGCTTTTTGTGTTAAATTGCAACCTAAATTTCATGTGGTGTCTAAACCTACTATTACAAATGATTGTTATCAAATCTTTGTTGTAGAGAAGGAAAAAATGATAACGTATTTGAAAGAAACATCCACCCGTGTAAGCATCACAACTGATATGTGGACATCTATGCAAAATCTTGGATATATGGTCATCACATTTCACTTTGGGCTCTTTTGGATTGGATGATGGGATTGTAAAATCAATATTGATTAGAGATTATTGCACTGTTCACTACTATTTAGTATCACAAAATACTCTTTTGGTTTGTAGGATTATTAATACTTGATAGTTTAATTTTTTCATTTGGTTTGAATGATTGTTGTTGATTTCACATGTATTTACATATAAGCCCTTGGTCAATATTTCTTTCTTTGACTCCACATATTCACAGTGTAAAGAACACAATAATTCCAATTCTCCACCCAAGCATTAACAAAAAAAAATAAAAAATTCCAATCAAACCAAATCGGCCAAAAACCCCAAATCTCTGCAACATCATCTGGAGAAATACTAATCTGAATTAACATCAGAACAACCCATTCCAAAACCAAGTCGTCCCTCACATAATGAGCAACAATAGGCGTTTTCGTGCAGACGGGTATGAGTCCGAGGATGGAAATCGAAACCATCCATTCATTTGTCGTTGCGGGCTACAGACATATGTGCAAACATCTTGGACTCCTTTAAACCCGGGGCGCCGTTTCGTTACCTGCCCAAAACAAGATGTAAGTTTCATTGTTTTTGCAATATTGTATTTGATTTGGATATGAAATTGTAGTTTGGAATCTCTATTATCATGTTTTTACAATTGTCTTGAATTTTTTAGGGTTTTATTAATAAAATATGTTAAAAAATATTATGTTTATTTTTTAATGGATTTGTTTTTAGGGTAATCGATGCAAGTTCTATGAGTGGTGTGATCCGGAAATATGCGACCGCAGTAAGAAAATAATTCCAGGTTTATTAAGAAAAGTTAACGTTTTAGAATCACAGCTTGAAGCCATTAAGGGTAAGGAAAAAAAGAAAAAATACAAATTAGCTTGTTTTGTATGTCTAGTATGTGTTTTGATTATGTTGCTTGATCCCCTATATGGTTCAATTTTCATTGTAGGATTTGTTTGTTTCTTGGGAATTATTAATTACTTTATGTAACGACTACATATATGCATACAGTAGCAGATGTGGGTTGTTTTTTCTTTTTTTTTTAAGAACTTGAACATGTATTGATCTTTTGAACGGAAGGAAAGTTTAGCTTCGTGTTTTGAATGACCATATTTTTTTATGTTGTTAAATATTGTATTTATATAGTACGCATTATATGGTAATTTGCTAAGACTAGTTGAGAAATCCGTAGGGAGATAGTAGAGTACTATACTACCATTACATAACAAGAATGCACTTAGTAAAAGTTCTACCATCCGTTGGCACTAGACATAGGATAAACTCGATGAATTACATCGTATATGTGCCAATTAGGGAAAAAGAGGGGGCACTCCATGCATATAAGTAGTGAATATAGGAATTTAAGGATCTATTACTCCTGAATTTGCGCCGTTCGATCCATTGTCATTGTCATCGTCCAAAGCATGCCCGTACATATCATGATGATATCCGTTGGGGTAGATAACGTCCAATGGTAGGGGTTCCTCATTAAATTCGGGAGGCTCATACATGTCATCCTCATTCCGATCGGGTACTAGAATGAAGTTTCGAACTTGTTCCGGTTCCTCGTTCATTCCGTCCTCGTCGTTATCTAGTTCCATTGGTAGGTGTGGGCTAAATCCGGGAACTTCCCCGAAATTGATTTGTGATGCCCGTTTCTCCTCAAATATCTTGACACAAATGTCGTAGTAGGGGAACCTGAATCTCTTAAAACCTCTCTCTATCGTAGTCTCCTTGAGAAACCAATGAAGATCCGATGTTTAGTATTAAAATGGAAAGTATATAGTTTGAAAAAATTAAAACATTTGTCGGTCGTTAGTAACATGCATACCCGACGTGGGGAATGGATGCGAGTGGGCTCAACCGTGATCCGATTCCCTGCTTTATTGTAATTTACCCCTGGTTTGTTGATGTATTTGACGAAATCAACAAATCGGTTGAGTATAATTTGGTATCGGTTTTTTATCGTCAATAATGGAGTGTCCAACTCGTAGCATTGATTGAATAGCCGTGACTTCTCCACCACCACGGTATCGAAAACTTCCCCTTCGGCCAATGATGCAAAGGGTGTGCATAACAGATCGAGTTCCCCCATGAGGAAGTCATCATACTCGGTCGGTCAATCCTCCTTGTTCAAAATAGAGTTGAGGAATTGAGTCCTCATCATAGGCATTTTAAATGTAACACCTGCAAAATTAAACAACAATATTACCAAAAAAAAAAAGTAAATTGTGGTGAATTTAATAAAAGATGAGTAACCTCTTCAATTTCCAACAAATTGCCTTATTTTGTGCTTCTTCTTGTTGTTTTGCCTTTAAACATGTAATCTGTGACAATTCTTTTACATACATGACCTCATTTATAGTAAAAAGAAAAAAAACACAGTAGTTGGATTGAGT